CATGGTAGCTAACAGCTAAAAGGAGCATCATGGCAGCTAACAGCTAAAAGGAGCACCACGTTAGCTAACAACTAAAAGGAGTGCCTCAGTAGCTAACAGCTAAAAGGAGCACCACGGTGGCAGACATGTTCCTGTTTTTAGTATTTTACATCGCTTTACAATGTAGCTGTTTTTTGTTTTGTTTTCACATCATTTCTTTTATTTACTTTTCATTTTATATGCTTTTATATGACTGTCTACTGTTGTCTTTACCTCATCTGTGTTCTTTGTTAAAACAGGTCTCTCTTGTAAATTTGAGTCCTCCAGGCTTAATGAGACTAAACTGTATAAATAAAGGTTGAATAAAATACATTATCTTTTCAAATCTTTATCAAACACATTTCCCTCTTAAATCTGCTTCCGTATGCTTGCTTTGTTTGTCTTATGCTACTTTTAGCTTTTAGCTACAATTCTTTTACTTTAGCTGTCATTCTGCCACTTTGAACTTGTGGCTAGAACGTACAACGTTTAGCTTTTAGCTACCACCCTGCTGCATTAAAATTTTAGCTAGACTTTTCCACCTTTAGCTTTAAGAATCCAAAAAGCTACATCTTTCACTTCCCATCTGTGGAGCTTTGTCAAATCAAAACCGGAGCGTGTGAAGCAGCTTAAAGAGAAGCTTTTTAGCTCAGTTTCAGCTTCTGTAAATTTCAGCAGTCATTTAGCGCTCGCTGTATTTTCCAAGACAAAGCAGTTTGTCCAGTCAATGAGTTTGTTTTTCTTCGTGTTAGTTTTTAAAGGCTGTGTGATTGTTATATGTAATCTGACCAAGATGCTGGATTTCTTTGCACTTCTCGCACTCGTCGCGGAACTTGATGCAGCCGGCCGAGTTGCGGCGGATCTCCCTGCAGGTCATCTTGCCGTTCCCAAAAGGCTTGGTGATGACCACGTCCTCATTCACGCTGCCGTCTGTAACAGGCACACGCAAAGTGCACGTTAGTTAAAGGTCATCGCGATGCTGCTCGACAGCTTTTCTCGCTAACCTGCATGAACGGGTCATAAAAAGTTACCCTGGTTAGTCGGGGGGTCAGAGTCTGGGTCCATCATGGATCCAAAAAGGTTCCTGTCCATTTCCATCAGGGGGGAGAACAAACTTTGGAAGTCGGGGAACGGATTGTGGAACAGCGTGCGGATGCTTCTGCTGTGGCGAGAAATCGGCGCCAGGAATTTAGGGAAGAAGAACATCGGAGGGTGCACGTGATCGGCCACCTGGGAGTCGAACACAGATGACGGGTTAGAGCGGTCCCAAAGACAGAACTCTGGTTCCTTTAAACGGTTTTCACAGGACCGCACACACGCTGAAAGAAAATGAAGTCCAGGTGCATCTAAAAATAAATAGAATATCGTGAAAACGTTTCATAAGAGAAACACATATATTCATTATACAGAGTAAAATATTTCAAACCTTTATTTCTTCTAATTTTGATGATTATGTTTGACAAATAATGAAAAACTAAAATTCAGTGTCTCAGAAAACTAGAACATTGTGACGAGGGTCAGTATTGTGAACTCCTGGTGTCACATCCTGGTCAGCTGATGAACTCCTGGACATGAACTGCAAATGTCTCGTTCCTCACGTCCAGCCACTCCTGAACCAGTGACATCAGAAGCGTCTCACCTGCTGAGGAGACAAAGAACTGGACTGTCTCTCAGAGGTCCAGCGTCCTCTTTTCAGATTAAAGTAAATGTTCACGTCATTTGGAAATCAAGGTCCCAGAGTCTGGAGGAAGAGAGGAGGACCAGAATCCACGTAGCTTCAAGTCCAGAGTGAAGTTTCCACAGTCAGTGATGGTTTGGGTCCATGTCCTCTGCTGGTGTTTGTTTTCTGAATCCAGTCAACTCAGCATCTGCCAGGACATTTTAGAGACTTTGTGCTTCCTTCTGCTTTATGGAGATACTGGTTTCATTCTCCAGCAGGACTCGGAACCGGCCCGCACTGCAGAAGGTACCAAAAACTGACCGTGGAATATTTTCATTTTCTGAGACAGTGAGTTTTGGTTTTTCATTATTTGTCCATCGTAATTACAAGAAATAAACATCAACGTTTATGCTTAATAATCCAGATAAAAAAAATCCAACAAAGTTGAGTCAGCTCCTCTGGATGGTTCATTTTTTCGTTGAGACTTTCATCCAAAGGACTTCATCAGACTGAGAAGCCACAACAAACTCAGTCCCATAAGCAGCACATTCACATAGTGGGCCAACCAGTTTGATGGTGATAAGATGGTTTCTGGAGTCCGCCCTCTCCCCTGTCCACTCCTCTGAGGCAGCCACAGCCAAAGTGGTTCAAAACATCAAAGTTCATGCTCAGTAGTCCAGGTAACAATCGACGGGGTGGAGGGCGGACTCCAGAAACCATCGTATCACCATCAAACTGGTTGGCCCACTATGTGAATGTGCTGCTTGTGGGATTGAGTTTGTTGTGGCTCCTCAGACTGATGAAGTCCTTTGGATGAAGGACGAAACGTTTCAACAAAAAAAGAAACTCTGTGTAATGAATCTATTTAATAAATGAGTTTCACTTTCTGAAATAATTAGCGAGAAATATTCTAATATTTTTAGATGCACCTGTACTGCCGTTTAACCTAACATACATGTTTGTGGACTTTAATAAGGAAGTACTTTCTGTGTGGAAGTCCACAGAGAAAATGTTTTTCTAATCTCTAATTGTCAAGATTCTGGCGAACCTGAGTGAATCATCGCCTCAGTTTCCTGTTAGCTAACTTGACTGGTGTGGCTTCTAGGTTTGTGATGGTGTTCTGTATAGGCCTGTCACGATAACAAATTTTGCTGGGTAATTAATTGTCTCAGAAATTATTGCAATAAATGATAATATTGTTTGAAGTTTGACAATAATTAGTAATTCTTGTCATATTTAAGAAGAAATGCTCATTTGTTTTGTGTGCAGTACCTTTTTTGATCACTAGATGGCAGTACAGAAGGATGGATAGTGAGGGAGCGAGCAGCGTGTCTCTTTAAGAAAAATGGGAGGGAGGCCCCTTGACGTGACATGGGCTGTTTCTCTTCGGTTCTCACAATGGCGGACGCACGGCGTGGTTTGATTTTTCACACAAAGCTTTTAATTTAAAAAATCAGTAAGCAAGTTCTCAGCTTCTTTTTGCAGAGAAAAAAAACAACTTTTTAGACAAAGGCACAGGTTTCAAACGTGAATTTTGGAGCTTCGACAAGACGGAGGTTTTTTTCCCCCGAGGTCGGCCTGTTAGCTTAGCTTCTCAGCTTAGCTGCTTTTAACGATCCAAAAACGCGAGTTAAAACAGATTTTAAAAAGAAAAGAGAAAGGGAGGTGTAAGAATGTGTTCTGATCTGAAGCAGGGAGAGGTGGAGCAATTGTCTTCCATATCAGAAGGTTTATTTTACATGTAAAGTACAAGATCACCTGCCCTGGGCCGTTGTAACTCCACCATGCGGTCATGAACAATGGCGCCGAACGTAAACAGACAACCCATCTTCTTCAGAGCTCGACCACACCCCCTGGAGTCGTCACCACCATCAACGAATGGGAAGTCCTACTCTATCATGTGACCCAGCTCTCAACCAATAATATCTCGCCATCTTGTGTTCTGTAATGGGTGGGTGCGTGAATGTCTGGGAGTTGTAGGCATGTAGCTGAAACTACATTTACTACTGTAAACGGAATCAGATCATGTTTTAACACATCATTCTAAATAACAAAACAGGATACATATATCTAGACATTTCATTAAGTTAATATATTATCTGATAAAATTATATTTCAGAGGGGTCAGTGAAGAGCACCAGAGTTGAGCCTTTTTGTCATCCAGTGTCTTCAGTAGAAAGAGAGAGACGAGAAGAAACGATAAAGCCGATAAATGAACATGAGGTCGATAATTTTCATTTATCATGCGATTAATTGATTTATTGTTTATTGCGACAGGCCTAGTTCTGTAGACTTCCATCAAGTGGTTTCTTGAGCTTACGGTATGTTGCCTTCCTATGATCTCAAACCAGCCTGCCCATTCTCCGACCGTCAAAAAGGCAATGTCGTCTCCATCTGGATCAATCTAAAGATGACTCTGGGTGGAAATACCTGTTAAGGTTCTGACTACACTGTTCTTTAAGAATATAAAATTTAACCATTTCTTTATATCTCATGAGAAGATCCAGTTTTTCTACAGTTATCTTCTGTACAAATCAAAGCATGTTGACGTGAGTTGAGCGGAACCTTCATGCTGTCTGAGAAGATGTTCTCCACTCCGTCTTCCATCTCCGTGTATTTTTCTTCCAGGTTCCTGAACTCTTTGTTCTGCCGCCGCCCCTCCTGCTCCAGGGTGTCGATCCGCTCCCCGTTGATCCAGATGGAGAAGGGGGACGTTCTGTTCAGCACGTCCTCCAGCTGCACTTCACAAAAGAACACAGTTTAGCTTTAAACCAAACCCTGAAAGTCCTTTAAAAAAATAAAAATAAAAAAATGTGAAAAGCAGTCATTATGTGCCTGACCTGCCGTCCCACCAGTCCAGATCCGCTGCTGCAAGTTCTGGAGTAGTATTTAACGCAGGTCTTCTTCAGGCAGGGCTTGCACTCCTCCCACAGAGTCTTCATCGTCTCGTTGCAAACCTCCTCCTCCTGCTCCAGCTTGGCTTCCATCTCCTCAGCCGCTCGCATCGCCTCCTGCGGGACAACTCACATTTTAATGCCAACTTCAGGAAAAATTAACGCTTGTCACGCGTTAAAAGTAAAATGTGTACTTTTACTTTATAATACTTTTCAGAAGGTATTTTGGTCTGGGTTTTTTTATTAGTGCTAATACTGATTCACATTTCACACTATTGATTTACAGGTTTATTTTTTTCCTAAAAGTATTTTGCAATCAAACGTCTTCTGCATACTTTGTGTTTTTTAGCCAACCACAGATCTTTCAGCTCATTCAGGAGACGATAATGACACTTCTGATTATTTGTAACTTTTACACTTTTCACAATATTTGACTTAATTTACAATAATTTCCCAATAAAAACACAAAGAGCTCCTCAGTTATTTCAGAAAAATTGTTCTCTTCAAAACTACTTCAGCATCCGCTCTGTTTTTTTACTTTTTGTACTACTGTTAACTTTTAGCTAGACTTTTGCCAATTTGGTTTAAAGCTAGCTTTTAGCTACACGAGTTTTTACCTAACATTTTGCTACTTTTAGTTAGCCTTGTGTTTGTCTTTTGCTGTTTTTTATAGCATGTTGCTACTTTTATCTAGCCTTTTGTTACTTTTAGCTTTTAGTGAACTTTTTGCTGCTTTTAGCTTACATTTAGCTACTTTTAGATATTAGCTAGCCCATTTTTATCTGATGTTTCTAGCTACTATTTAGCTACATTTAGTTTTTAGTCTAGCATTTTGCTACTTTTGGCCTAAAGTTAGTATTTAGCTACTTAAGCTTTTAATTAAGGTTTTGCTGTTGGGCCATTTGGTGCTTTTATCTTTTAGCTAGATTTTTGCTGCTTTTTTGATAGTATTATGCTACTTTTATCTAGCTTTTTTCTTTTAGCTAGTCTTTTGTTACTTTCAGCTTTTAGTAAACCCTTTGCTGCTTTTAGCTTGCATTTTGCTACTTTTAGCTACCTCGTTTTTAACTTTAGCTTCTAGCTAATGTTTTGCAAGATTTAGTTTTAGGCTAGCCTTGTTTTGATACTCTATTTTGTAGCTCATCTTTTGCTACTTTTAATATAGCAAGTCTGACACTTTTTGTTAGTCTTTTGCTACTTTTGGCTAACTTTAGCTTCAGCTAGCCTTTTTCTACTTTTACTTTTAAGCTAGCTTTTAGCTTTTAAATAGCATTGTGACCTTTTAAGTTAGCCCTTTATACTTTTAACTAGCCTTATGCTACTTAGCTTATAGCTAGTGTTGCTTTTGGCTGGTGTTTTTTTTTATAGCTTTATCAACCTTGTTTTAGCTTCTGCAATAAATTTCAGCAGACTTTCTGCATTTTACAAGAATGTTTTTCTCCCTCGTAGTCTGATTTAATAACATGTTTGCTTACAGTGTTATTTACCTACTTTTTTTTTTTCACTAAATGTAATTATTGTTTCTATTTGAGACAAATCTCTGGCAGGTTTTTCATTTTTACATCTTTCTGTTGCTTCGTTTTCTCCAGAGCGTCCACAAACTTCTTATGGTCTTCTGAGGATTTCTGCATGACGCTCTTCATCTCCTTCACGCCGTCAATGGCGTTTTCAATCTGTTTGTCCAGGTACCTCTCCCCCAGGACGGAGATCTCTGTGAATCACAACCAACGCACAAAAAGTGTGTGTCGCTGCCTGAAACGTAGACTTTCACATCTGAATATTGTCCACATGATGTCCTAAAAAGAAACTTAATGTTAGGAATGATCTCCATAAACTTACCGTTCAGGTCGTCCTTGGACGGAGGCAGGATGCAGTTGGCCGAGGCCAGAAGAAGAGTCAGAACTGCCAGGGACTCCTTGGCCCACTTCTTCTTCTTCATCATCATCATTAACATCCTCTCTGACTCTCAGAAGGAGCAGCAAGAAGTAACGAAGAAGACCTGGAAATTACAAATGTCACATTACTTCATGTAAAATGCACCTAGGCTGGTTTAAAGTTGTAATGATGCCACGTGTCCAGCAGAGGGAGCCCTGAGCTGTGGAGAGGCCGCCCAGAAGAAAAATGAGATGTTTGCTCAGCAGTTTTTCCTGCTGCTCAGCAAATGTAAAAATAACTGATCATTGTTGGTCATTCGGTCATGAAACATGAGGACGTTTTGACCGAACTGACCTCAGATCAGCCCTTTCTGTGCCACTGACCCACTGTGCCCCCCCAGAAGCTTTATATAACAGAACAGCACTTTCTCTGTTGATCCATCAGTTTATTTCCTCTCGCTCTGATGTGTGCCCGTTTATTAACACTATTCGTCATTCCCTTCCCACCTGAGCACACAAACACAAAAAATGGGCAAACGGAGAGGAATTTATCGAACAGACGCGCCGGCCTTCTCTCATCTATGTGCAGATTTTCCCGTGTGCGTTTCTCTAAGGCTGAATCTGGACTCTGGTCTTCCCTGAACTCTGTTTTGTTTCGGTGGATTGTTTGGGTTCACCTACAGCCTTTTGGAGACATGAAGTTTCATTGTTGTCTTCTGGAACTTCATGCCTTCATCGGCTGCTGGAAGCTTATACAACGAAAAAACTGTCTCCATGGCGACGCCTCAAACTCCCTCTGTTGACATTAAAAACACGACACAGAAATATACATGTGATACTATTTACAATTTTAATATTTAAAAGCACTATTTCTTGTTTCACTTTGCTAAACGTCCGTCAGAACACAGATTTGGTATCGCTCGCTGCTGCTGCTACTTTTGTCTGTCTGTTAGCAAAATATCTCATGGACGAACTGTAATAAAACTTGCCTAGCCACTGGATGTGTGCCAATTCAAGATAAGTGACCTTAAAAACTAGCAGAAGCAGGTTTAAGTCCGCCAGTTTCACAGACACTCTACTGAAACTTCATGTGGTGAAGCTGAGACTGATGCTCAAACCATATTCTGAGCACGATCCGTTAACTGTAGGAGTCCAATCTATCCCTCTGTTAGTAAAATATCTTGAGAGTTTTCTCAGATTGGGTGCACATTTACACGTTAACTCTTGGAAACGACCTAATTCAAGCTGTCCTTTGCAGCGAATCAGTCTTTTAGCGCCACTAAAATGTTGACTTCAGTCAGTTTGATGTGGTAGTAGCTGTGAGTCATTCACAACACACGCTCTGAGCACAGATACATCCTGTTAGAGCTTAAATTATCACACGAGGTTACGCAAAATGTCACGTTCTACTAAAATGACTAACTTTCTTTGAGCAACTCTTCCTAACAATTACTATTTAACTTGGTTATTCTAGTCGGAGCCTTTTGTCAAATGAAATGGGTGAAAAAATTATGTTTTAATGAAGAAATATTATTGAGTTTTGGATTCATTGCATTAAACGGATCAAACCGTTGAGTCTTGGCCTCAAATTGCGGTGAGGAGGATTTTCTCAGGATTATCTCAGAAATGAGAATCCAGCTCTTTCCTCAAGGTCACGTCTAAAGATTAAACAAGACGCTTCAGATTTGGCCAAATCAAAACAAAGATTAATACATTTCAGCTGCCTCAACCAGGAAACGGCCAGTATGTTGAGTTTTAGTGAATTATTTGCTGTTTTGATTGTTTAATTATTCAAATTCAAATTCAAAAATACTTTATTAATCCCAAAGGGAAATTATTTGTTGTTGTAATTCGTTATCCTCATTTCATTAAGAGATGCTATAGATGCTGATGACTATATATTGATATTATATATATGACTATTATATATATATATATAAAACAGAGACATCCCGTTTTTTAAATTTTTATTTGTTTTCATTCACAGTCACCTGCTTGTCCACCACCACGTCCTGTTTCTATGGTAACAAGAACAATTTAATTTCATCTCCGCAGCCATTCGTGATTTTATCAATTTTTCCCACTTCCGTTTCATCAATATATTTTTAGCGTCAACTTCTTTCACTTGTTATTTTGTGAACTGTTCATTCCTTGACTCGCAACACTTGGTCAAAAGATAATTTTCCAGCTGCTTTGTACAACATTTGAACTCTTTTCTCCCAAATTCTGCCGTTAAAGTTATGAATTTAGAGACTGCTGTACTGAAACATGTTGATTCAATCAGGAAAGAATAAAATAAAATGTACAAACTGTTATAACTATTGTTATAATGTTTGAAAATCGTGCAAATTAATGATAAATGTGGTACGGTCAGCACAAAATGCAACTTCATGACCTTCATTTATGTTTGTGAGATGACTGTGCATGATAAATGATTATATTCTCTCTTTTTATGCAGTTTTTTTTCTTTATTCTGCATCGTCTCCAAGGTACGTTCACCATGAAATGAGTGGGTTCATCTTGTGTACAAAACATCTGGAGGTGACCTCGCTGATGCTTGTTTCCAGATTCCCAATAAAAAAAAGGAGCACCCATGTAATAATCTGAACTACATTTTCTGCAAACAGCACATTGTGGCCTCTTGTCCTCCTATTTTTAGGTGTTTGGGGATTTGGAGGGTTAACTTGGAGAAAATCAAGGTCATTCCTAAACCAGGACACAAAAAACTGTATTTTTTTTTGTTTGTTTTTCAACAGAGCATTCTAATATAATAAAACATAACATGTATTCATTCTATATTACTTTAACATTTGTCAAATTACAAAGTAAAAAATACTTTTTATTTTTTATTTTAATGCTTTTTTTTTCCTGTACAGCTTTAAAGGCTAAAATAAATGATGGGTAAACCACCCACAGAATGACGTCACCGGCCTTAATCCCGTTGTTTATATCCAAAGATGGAGGTCACACCCATGAGTAAGCAATATAAACAGTAATCAACACGTCAGCAGTTTTAGCTAAAAAACTGTTGAAAAGACTAAAATTATTAGGAGTCATAATTTTACACTGTGACGTTTCATTAAAGTTTCTAATGCTATTTTAGCACTCAGAAGGTAAACATAAAAACTGATTTATCCGGATGAGCATCACCTACAGCTGCAGGGACTTTAAAAATAAGAGCCTCTCTGACTCACCTCTGCTGGTTTCCAGTGACTGTGGACCGTCTGACGCTGCACCAGTTCGGCAGCTGCCAGTATTTATAGCCTAACGGAACCGTGCAAACCGGATTCAGAGAGAAAGTGCGTCCCTGCCGCATCCAAGGCGTCAAAATGACGCAGTCTGACAGTGACTTCCTGCTTGACCCTTCAAAATAAAACTACAAATTGGAACGTTTTGTGTTGGGATTAAAACCAAAACAACTATTTTGGTTTATTAAAACGCCAGTAAGCGTTAAGTAAGCTTTTAATAATTTAAAGTCAATATATTGTTTGTTAGCTTCAAATTCAAAATTCATACCTAATCTTTATAGTAGAATAAAATGTTTTAAAAGTTTGTAAAAAAGAAAGAAAGAAAGAAAGTTGCACAAGATGTACGTGTCTTAAAACAGATTTGAAATGCTGGTACATTTTGTTACATTTAGAGAGACTAAAGCCATAAATGCACTTGGAAGGGGTGGTTTTCTACAAATATGCTAACATTTAATGAAAAACGATATTAATGAAAATACGTTTAATAAAAATAAATTTAATAAAACACATTTATAAAAAACATACTTTCTTTTAAGACCCATAAAGTACACATCACTGCACCCTGTATTCACTGGTGGTCATTATTAAGTTCACACAGACTCTTCCACTGGAACATTTTCATCTTTAAATCACTTCTTGGTCTGTTGCCTTCATACATCTCCTCCTACATGTCACTGCGTGAGTGCAGCTACAGCGTGCGCTCAGTCTCAGGACATTATTACCTGCAGTGTCCCCTCAGTGCGGACTGAACCAGGCAAAAGGGCCTTCTCCTACTCTGCTCCTATTTCTTGGAACATATTGAAAAAAGAGCTGAAGCTCTTGACCTCTCTAAGCAGCTTCAAACAAGTTCATGGGAAAACCAAAGCAGACATGTTCCTGTTTTAAGCATATTGCTTAATAACGTAGCTGTTTTTGTTTCGCTTTAAAAAAAAAGATAATTTCTTCCATTTACTTTTCATTTTACATGCATTTTTATGATTGTTGTCATCTGTGTCTCTCTCGAGACTTCTATAAATAAAGGTTGAATTGAACTGAATGTTAGCTTGAACAAATTTAAAGCATAAGTATATATAAAAAACTGGAAAACTGCTAGAATTATCTCACAACAAATATCTAAACTTATTGTTTAAAGTTTCTCATATAGTTTTGCTCCTTTGTATTTTTTTTCTTTCATTATTTTGTAAAACCCATTATTTTGTGACATGCAGCGAGAGCTTGTTTTTGTATCTTGTTGTATTGTTCTGTTTTGTTTTGTTAATAAAGTTCTTTAAAAATATATGTTAGCTAGTTGCTAATGGTAGCACCATTTTGTGTACAGCTTTTTAGCTTCAATATCAAAACTCTTACTTAACCTCCCAATGAAAAAACAATTTGTTGCTTTACTTTCAGCACAAGCTACACAAGAAGATGTGACTTTTTAAAAGAGACGACTAAAAACGCTGGTAAGAGCTGGTTTTCTGAAAATATGCTAATATGTGTTAGCTCGTTGCTAATGGTAGCATCGTTATCACTGTACAGGTAATTTACATTTATTGCTCAATAAATCACTTATTTAACATTCCAACAACGCAACAAAATGTTCTAACATTTAGGAAAAGTTGCGCAACAACATATGTCGTTATAAAATAAAAATTACAGGGCAAGCTCATTATGTTTATTAGGGTGCTAGCATGTTGCTAACACGCCATATTTGTTTAGAGAGATCAGATTTAAGTAGATTTTAATTTATTATTATTGAAATTATTATATTATATATTAATTATATACTATATTAATATTATGTAAGTTATTGAAAAGATTTAAATGACAGTGCATGACGTTTTTCAGTGCTTTTAGCGGGGTTCTTCGGTGCACAGTTCATGCTTGTTAACTGGAAATATTTGTTATAACTGAAGTTTAAATTAATAAACAAAGTTTTAAATAATAAAAGAAACTTTATTGAAGTGCTTTGCATAAATGACGAATTTCAAATTGTAAGGTTGTAAACATGTAACATTTACATCACCCAAATAGATTTAAAAGATTTAATACAAAACTTTTCCACAATTTGACAAAAAATCTAACATTTATTTTGAAATTGTATCTATTTTCCTGTAGCTATAATGTGTATTGCCTTTGACTTGATCGTCCTAGGGGACTTTTCCAGAAGTTTTCCTGATTTACTGGCAGAACACAAAGCTTGTGAGCAGAGAGACAAACACTGATTCATTCAGACTGTGACTCATATAAAATCTGTTTTTCCACCAACCACATCTGTAGACACAGTTTCAAAACAGATTCAAGAGAACGGCTTAACTTTCACTGTTGGTGCTCACCCAGGACTGCTTGAAACTGGAACCAAAATAAAACCTGGACAGGCCGTTAGTTCATACAAGGCTAACACACACACACACATAAAAAAACTCAAACAAACAAAACAATCATGCAGACTCACTCAAAAAAACCCAAGTAGGCTAACATGTATAGTTTTGGCGAAGAAAAACACACAAACTACACATACATTTCCTTGTACAGATTAAAACTGGGAACCTTTTGGCTGCTATGACATATATCTTCACATACTTTTATTTATTTAAGATAAATACATCTGTTGTTGCAAGAGTTTTGTTGAAATTATTCTTAAATTTGTTTCAATAAAAGAATCATCTGACGCAGTTCTAGCTGCTAAATTATTTATTTATTCTTGTATTTAAAGAGCTCTTTTGATCACTTTGCTCCTATAACATTACACAAACAACATAAACTCCCTTTAACTCCATTTAAATAATTCTTTAAAAATACAATTGGAACTCCAAAGTGATTAAAACAAGCAAAATTATAGACAAAATAAATAAACCTAAAGAATAATGCATTTAAAAGCAGGCAGATATGGATAAAATCAATTTCCATCTGGTAAAAAAAATCAGAAATTAAAACAGTAGAAGTACATGAAAAAGTATTTATGGAATAAAAACTAATAGTAACTAAACATTTCCTTAAAACAAAGCTACAAGTGACGTTAAAATCTCTATATAACTAAAATAAAAAGCCCAAAAGTTACACCTTTTTTTCTGCTCACATAAATTACGTCCACAAATTTAAATGGATGTAATTTACTGTAAAAATTGTCCGACCAACAAGAGAAGTAAACGAGGAAAAGAGCTGATCAGAAAGGTCAAAGGTCAGCGAGCATCAACGTGTTTTGACAGAATGCCATCTGCAGCAGCTTCCTGTAAGCGTGAGGACACTTTCAGGAAATTCCAATAAAAAAATGAAGTTAAATCACAAACTGAACCCAAACCTCAACTTAAAGATGACGCCGAGTTTGATGAACCGTTCACGTAAAGCTGCAACTAAACAGACACGATTTAATCCTGATAAACAGCACTTGGTGTCTGAGTCATTTCAGAGGCTGGAGGTTCTAGTAAAACACACACACACACACACACACACACACACACACACACACACACACAGTTTTCCACCGTGCGTCATGTCTGCAAAGCTGTGATCAGCAGTTGAAAACATTTAATTTAAATAAAGCTAAATCCACATTTTTTGCACTCAGTCAAACTTTTTTCAGCCCATTTCAGTGAAAATGTGCTTTCCCCACTTCCTTCTGGTAGTTTAAGCTTCTTTCTGCCTTTTTAGCTACTTTTCAGCAGTTTTTTTTTTTGTAAAACTTCAGCTTTTTAAAGATAATTTCCACTTTTTTGTGCTCATTTCTGCTTCTTTCAGCTTAACTGGACAAACGTGTTCTTTCTGCCTTTTCCTGCTAATTTAAGCTTGTTCTACCTTTTCAGCTATTTTTTTGTTGCATTTTTAAAGCTAATTTCAGCCGTTTTCAAATAAATTCATTTTTTTTGTAGTTATTTGTTACTTTCAGCAACTTCTTTCTGTTAATTTCAGTGTTATGCTCCTTTCAGCTTATTTCTGCTAGTTTCAGCCTTTCTTGCTTTTTCAGCTACTTTTTAGCTGTTTTGTTCAAAATTTATCTTTTTCAGACAATTCCACATTGCTTAGCTCATTTCAGCTTGTTCCACTTCCTTCTGGTAGTTTAAGCCTTTTCAGCTATTTTTCAGTTTTTTTGTTGTTGTTGCTAATTTCAGCTTTTTTTTTTTAGCTAATTTCCTAATTTTTGTGCTAATTTCTGCTTTTTTAAACCTAATTCAGCAAATATGTGTTCTTTCTGCTTTCTTCTGCTTCTGCTTGTTCTTCCATTTCAGCTACATTTCAGCATTTTTTTACCTCATTTCAGCTGTTTTTCAGTAAGTTCTTCAGCATTTAGCATTCACGCTGCATTTTCGCAGGAAATACAATTCCTCTAGTTGCTTCTATTCTTCACTTCAAAGATTTACTGACCTAATGTTTTCGTTAGAGCCCTAAACAGATCATCAACACAACTAAACATGTAAAAGTTTTAACTTTAAATTAAAATACACAAGCTAAAACAAGCGGAATGCACAATTGATAATGCATGATCATTTAGCCATCACCAAAAATAATTATTCTGAATGAATAAAGCGGTTTAAAAGATTTTGTTGTGGTTTTAGTAAACAAACTCAAACCGGCTTCACTCAGCACATTTATTAAATAATTTGAAAAGCAGGGATCATTACTGATTCTAACTTAGATGCTCATGAAGTCCAGTAAAACAGTGATCTGCTGAACTAAGGTAGAATATAAGATCTGAATATATAAAATAAACAATTATCTGATTCAGACAGTTATTACAGGATGCGATAGTTGTCGAGCTAAATGAAGTTTTAATGCAGCAGATATGAAAGTAATTCTGATTTTAGGATAAAAACTTGATCAAATGTTTGTCTTTGTGTGTTATAACATTTAACACCAGGTGGCAGAACGCTCACTCCTATGAAGCCATTTAAAGTTGTGAGAAGTAAATTTATTGATCATTCAAGGTGTCCAAAGTTTGAATTCCTACTCAGGACTTTAAGTCTCAACAAACAGGAGACAGAGTTAAAGTGAAAACAGTGTGTTTGATTTGAAATGAATTGTCTGAAATTATCCAACCAGGAACAGAAGAAACAGAAATCATGAAATATTTTGTTGTTTGCTTCGCACAAAGTTAAAAACCAGAGGAATTA